CACTTGCTGTAAAAATGGCTGAGGTCTTGGCCCTGGGCCCCTTAGCTTCAGCACAACCCTTGATATGCACAGGTACCACTTGGGCCCATCACTTCACACCTTAGGTCTTGGGTGGAGGCCACCTATGTCACCTTGCTGATCCTCCTGCTGTTTGCTGGGGAGTAACAAACTTCCCCGGATGCACAGAATTCCATTGTTTATGCCTAGCATTCCCTGCTTGCTTCATGAACTTTGGATTCCTGGTACTGCTGACCATGCTCTATAAGATTAGGTCTGTTTCTGGACAATGTCCCGTTTTAGTTAGATAACATTTTATTAGGTGAGAAAATACCCGTGGTTCCATTTTTACGACCATCCCAATTCAATCAGACTCACTGAAAATCACCAAGAGACCTCGGCCCTTCCTCTGATCTGTTGACCAAGGGAAGCACAGCGACCAGCGTGTGTAAGGACTGACAGGAGTGTGTAACCTTGAACTTTGCCTTTCAGAGCACTTGGAGAATAGTTATGGAAGGTGACCTAAAGGATATTCTTGCTCCAAAACCTATTTCCACATTCTGGCAGGATGTCAGAGAGGCACATCTGAGAACCATGGTGTTTTGCTCTCATTTTGAACTGCTGGTACTGAACTGTTGTTGTTTTGTTGCAGGATAATATTGGAGTCTACACTGGGATTCTTATATGGACCAAGGGTGTGAACTCCATCTATGATGCATATTTATAGAAAGCAGGTTAAATCTCTTCTAGGGAGCACAGTTATAAATGAATGTGAGTTAACGAACAAATAAATACAATTTGAGAAGTTGTGTTTTATGATAGGGATATAAAAGGAAAGTGCAAGAATTACATTTGTTTGAACACCAATTATATGCCAGCCCTTGTCTAGGTGCTTTAGTAATATTATATCGTTTAATTTTTTCTTCACATCATCCCTATGAGGTGGGCATTATTGGTCCCATTTTACAGATGAGAAAATTTGGCAGAGAGCTAACTGTTGTATACTGGCGACATTAATTCAAGCTCAGATATGTCTGACTCTAATACTTGCATGTTTTCCAGGACTCCTTGCTGTCACATTATCCAGGAAATACAATTCCTTCTGTTCCTCAGCAGCAGTCAAGACGAAAACCCCCAGAGTGAGCCACAAACTACTTCCCTCTTCCTGGCTAGGTTTTCCTTGAAATTCTCATTCCAATGTGTGTCGCTGCTGCCATCTGCCGGCAGCCTCACTCAGCCTGTGCTGTCTTTGCAAATCCCTCAATCTCTGAGAAGGCGAAATCACTCAGCTTCAAAAAAAAAAAAAAAAAAAGCAACAGGCTGAATGCAGACAACCACCTGATAAAGGGAGTGAAGCTCCGAGAGGGAATACTTCACTTTCCTTGGGGATACCTCCTTTCTCCTTTGAAGCTGCTGTCAGTCAGTTTGCACTCTTCTCCAGGTAATGAGAAAGCTCAGCTTTGGCATCCAGGCCACCTAAGTTTGGAGGGTGGCCTTGTGCTAGCCTGGGGAAGTCCCTGGCCCCAGTCTGTAACACTGGCCACCACCTTGACAAACAGCAAATCACAGGTAGCGTAAGTGCCTTGATGCAGAAGAGGCTTAGCGCCAGCAAAGCCAGGCTTGGCCACTTCATAGAAAGGAATAGGACTGGGGGGAATCAGGCCATTGCACATGGTGGTCCTCACCTGGGCAGCTGGGACGGCAGGTGACCCCAGAGCCTTTGTAAAAAGTGCCTGAGACACACACACACACACACACACACACACACACACATCCTGTGAAACATAATGGTTTATCATCTGGGGTAGATGGTTAGATTCTGTTTTTCTTTGTTTCTCTTTCCTGGGCAAAGTGGGGGGGCATCCCAGGGAGCAGGGGAGCTTATTTCTGACTGCTGGAAAAAAAGAAAGCAGGAATTGTTGTCGCGACAATTAGGAGCTCATCAAAGCCTCATTTTGCTCATCAGCCATCAGGGCCCTCAGTCGGACCCCCCCCCCC